TCACCAAACCAATGTGCAGTAAATACCGTATCAAAGTTGGTCAGTGCAGCATCCTACTTTGAAACCCTAAATCAATGGAAGGTAACGCAGTCTATCCCCATAGGTTTGTTGAAAAAAGTGAACGAGTCAAATACGTTTTGGGAAAACTATCCCGAAGACAACAACTTCTAAGAGGATGTACTTGTCGTTCGAGACATTTCTGAACAGTCACATTTTCGACGCTAACGTTGCTAACACACCACTGAGCCACCGTCTACCTGTGTGGCAGGGCGCCTGGTAGCAGGGGGCGGACGAATATAATCAAAGAAGTCTAAGCACTTTACCACAGACGTAGACGCTGAAGCCTGTTGACAAATATAACGTTATTCGCCCCATTACGTAATCCCATAATGCAACGCGCGCTGGAGAGGTAAACAAACAACAATGGCGTCCGTACCGGGAAACGTCGTCTGCAAGTTTTCGCCGGCCGGCACCAGCACCAGCAGCAGTACATCGCAGTTTCGTACTCATGTGAAGCTTTCCTTCGTTAATTAAACTGAATATGTCGGAGGGAGTAAAATCTGTGTGGTTTCTTATGTTTAGGACCAAAACTAATGCCGATATCCACCGTAGCCCCCTGCCGGCGAAAAAAGCCGGTTGCCGGTTAACACCTACGGCAAGCGGCCGGCGAAAAATCGCCTCCTTCCTTTTTATTAAATTCCTCGCAACGGGGTTTAACACCCAACTGGTAGTCGTACATCCGATTTGCCCCAATGAAATACTTTAGCATTGTGGAAATGACATGTTCAAGTACTAAGGCCACACCGATTTAATTTTATGGATGACATCCTCTAAAGACCCCCAAACTAGTGCGCGCGGGCGAATAAAAAAAATTCCGGCCAAAAGTAAAAATGCTACTAAACCACAGGAATACAAAGCTGGTATTGTGAATTCGCAACAGTACTTAGCGAGGTATACGGCACTAACTGCGGCATTTATGAATCGGTACTGTACTTATGCACTGAGTTCTTGAGTCGTGGAGCTTCGTATTCGATAGCCTTGGTGCTCGGCTCCGTTTTGTCGCTGACTACCATGGACTACCCAGGCCTAGAGCCAGGCCGGCCAGAGCCTCGGTGGAGGTGATCTTTTTTTTTTTTAGGGCGACAGGCGAAAATCAATGCGCGCGCGGATGTCATCCATAAAATTAAATCAGTGTGGCCTAAGTACGTCAGAGGGCTGGTAAGGCCGTAAGCAGGGGAGGCAGCGAGAAGACATGGACGTACAGCCGAGAAGACGCAGCGGCTATAGGCCGAGCGCATATTTCCCCTCTGTTATAGATCCAGAATTATGAAATATGCACAAATAGCATAACATGAGTAACTAATGATGTGTTTTTTTTACAGGTGAAGTATTCCGGGTCCTTTTGCTCCGCAATGGGTTGCTCTCACAGCGCGGGCAGGGACAAGGCCCTGGGCCTGAAA